TGTGCGTGTGTGCGTGTGTGCGTGTGTGCGTGTGTGCGTGTGTGCGTGTGTGCGTGTGTGCGTGTGTGCGTGTGTGCGTGTGTGCGTGTGTGCGTGTGTGCGTGTGTGCGTGTGTGAGTGTGTGCGTGTGTGCGTGTGTGCGTGTGTGCGTGCGTGTGTGCGTGTGTGCGTGTGTGCGTGTGTGCGTGTGTGCGTGTGTGCGTGTGTGCGTGTGTGCGTGTGTGCGTGTGTGCGTGTGTGTGCGTGTCCCCCCTCGGAGCATCACTCTTGAAGCTCTTCCCGTCCATCTGCTTGCTGATCTCCGCCTCGCCTTGCACTCCGCTGGTCCACACGTCATGCCGGCAGCACTCCTCCACGAGCTGCTGCTCGAGCTGCCGCACCCCCTTCGTCCGGCACGCCGGGCTGCGCGTCCGGCTTCGGAGCTCGTCTCTGGGCTTGTGCGCTCGGAGAGGACAGCAGGTGGCATAGGCATAAGATCTCAGAGGTCCGCGCGGATGTCTTGCACCGGCGATGGCCCTCGCCTGGCGCGCGGAGCGCGCCGGGGGAGCCCAGCGCCGATCCCCAAGACGTCCGCGCGGAGCTCCGAGACCTTGTGTGCTGCGCAGCTGGTTGCTCGTCGAGCCCGTGCAGCTGGAGCGCCGCGGCCGAGCCGTCGACGCGCCGGCCCACGGAGGCGCCCCCCGGGCCCCGCGGTGGCAGTGTCGTGCCGCAGCCTCCCTCTCCTGCGCCCACTGTGCGCGCCCAGCTCCAGGCTGGGGCCGTCCACCTCGGAGGCGCCCACCTCGGGCGCGCGGGAGCCTCGCCCTGCGCGAGGGAGCCCCATTCCTCCTCCTCCTCCTCCTCCTCCTCCTCCTCCTCCTCCTCCTCCTCCTCCTCCTCCTCCTCCTCCTCCTCCTCCTCCTCCTCCTCCTCCTCCTCCTGCTCCTGCTCCTACTCCTGCTCCTCCTCCTGCTTCTCCTCCTGCTTCTCCTCCTCCTCCTCCTCCTGCTGTCCCTCCTCCTGCTTCTCCTCCTGCTCCTCCTCCTTCTCCTCCTGTTTTCCCTCATCCCCCCCCTCCTCTCCCCGGGCGCGCGGGCCCCGAGTCTTCGGGCAGAGCCCAGAGTCCAAGGTCGTTCGACTACACATTAAAAGTGACCGCTCGCTGGAGTGGCCCTCGGTGCAAAGGTTCGGGCGGGGCCCAGCTCAAGCTCACGGGCTGCTGCCGTCGCCTCGCGCAGCGACGGGCAGGCCGCGCACCGAATGGTCGCTCTTGCCTGGGGTCGCTGGTGCATGCAGACGAGCCGTGGAGCCTTCCCGTGGCCGCTGGAGGAACGGTCCCGCCAGCGGGCGACGCCCCCCTGCGCCAGGCGAGAAACGGGCCACCCGCGTCCATGCAGACAGGGGCGTCCCGGGTGGGCAGTTCGTTCTACGGCGGCCGCGTGGTGCAGAGAGGGGGTGGCGTCTGGGCGTCGCGGGTGATGTCAAGGCATGTCGTCTGCTGTGCCGCCCTTTTTCCGTCTCTCGTGCTCACCCTGACGTTCTTCGCCCTCGGGCGAAGGACACCGAGCACCTGGCGAACGGAGCTTCGACCGTGTTGAGGCGCGAATTGCGAATGTGTTCCCTGACTCGTCTGTCAGTCCCCCTCCTCTTTCTTTGCTCCTCCTCCTCCTCCTCCTCCTCCTCCTCCTCCTCCTCCTCCTCCTCCTCCTCCCCCTCCTGCTTCTCTTCCTGCTTCTCCTCCTGCTCTTGGTCCTGCTCCTCCTCCTCCTCCTCCTCCTCGTCCTCCTCCCCCTCCTCGTCCTCCTCCTCCTCGTTCTCCTCCTCCTCATCCTCCTCCTCATCCTCATCCTCCTCTTGCCCCGCCTGCTTCTCCTCCTCAACATATTGCCTACCCATCCTTCCTTCCATCCTTCTCCAGCACTCTTCCTGATCGAAGACGCTCAAGGGCAGTCACCGCCGACCCCTGCCGTTTGGAAACACCTGTGTCGTGAGGTATCGAGCACAAGTGCGCTTCACGCTGGTGGACTGCGTGTTCCCCAGGTTCTGGGGAAACCGCTGGAGGAACATTGGGGGGCTGCCTTAGGTCTTCCCCTTTGCATTTGGAGCATTCTTGGGGGCCTGTTGGGGCTCTCTTAGGCTGTGTGTTGAAAGCTCCTGAGGGCAGTCTGGTGCCTTCGAAGACCTTCTTGTGGGCATCTCCGGGCAGTCTGGAGGCCCCATTGGTGCCAGTAAGGGCAGTTTGCGGGCTCGTTTGGGCCGTGTTGGGGTCCGAGAGGGGCTTATTTGGTCCGTCTGGACGCTCCAAGACCGAACAGACGAGAATCAAACACACAAAACATGTAAAACACATGACTTCCCGAAGATTAGGGCCTCCTGGGCTGACCCCTGGGGCCCCCGAGACGGCCCAAGAGACCCCCAGGAGATCCTATTGGACCATCTTGGTCGTCTGGGAACCATCTTGGAGGCCATCCGGGATCGTTTCGGACCGTCTGGGATGTGTGAGGGGGGCGGCGGGACAGGCCGAGAGCAAGTGGGACCCTTCGCGAATGGCCAGCAAGTTTTGTTAGACTCGGCACGCCAATCACCGCCTCATACGATCGGGAACAATGGCTTGGCGTGTCGTTCCGCCCCGCGGAGAGAGGGAGGAGGAGGAGGAGGAGGAGGAGGAGGAGGAGGAGGAGGAGGAGGAGGAGGAGGACCACCGCGCTTCAAGGCAACACGATATCCACGTCCCAGCCCCCGAGCGTCAACGTCCCGAGCGGAGCGCAGCGACACGCGATCCGCTCGCAGGGCATCGCGTGTCACCGGGCCGCCGCCGCGACACGCTATCCAAGAGCTCCTGGCCATAACTTTGCGCGGGCGGTCTGGGATGACCTCTTTCTGTGGGACGCTGTGAGGGCACCCACGCGACGCGGTGCTTTCAAAATGAGGGCGATCTGGGATACCCAGAGAGAAAGAGAGATCTATACATATACATGTATGCAGTCATACGTTCATATAAATACATACAAGCATACATACATACATACATACATACATACATGCATGCATGCATGCATACATACATACATACATGCATGCATACATACATACATGCATACATGCATACATACATACATATACATACATACATACATACATACATACATACATACATGCATGCATGCATCGTACATACATACATACATATATGCATACATGCATACATGCATACATGCATACATACATACATATACATATACATATACATATACATATACATATACACATACACATGCACATACACATACACATACACATACACCTACACCTACACATACACATACATACATACATACATACACACACATACACACATACATACATACATACATACATACATACATGCATACATACATACATACATACATACATTCATACATACATACATACATACATACATACATACATACATACATACATACACATATATATATATATATACATACAGACAGACAGACAGACAGACAGACAGACAGACAGACAGGCAGATAGACATACACACACACATACATACATAGACAGACCCCACCCCATCATTAGGAGTGTTGGGGTGGGATGCTCCCGTGCGCGCTCGCGGTGCTCGTGCCCAGCCCCCCCCCCCATAGCTGCATCGGCTGCGCCCGAGAGTGAGTCCCCTCCTCGCTTCTACCCCCACGCCACCCCCGTAAAAAGGAGGAAGGTGGCAGGCGTCGCGTCCGCAGAACTCTCGCTGCGCAACTATGAGATGAGTATCTGGGCCCCGCGCCGCGATTGATATCTCGCACGTCCCTGCGAGATTGGTCAGATGCCGAGAAGGTCGCGTCATGCGCGGCGGCGCAGGCGCGCCACGTCGGCAGCGGAATGCGTTTCCTCGCGCTGGGGATGGCGCGCGGCGCCAGGCAGATTCCTCTCGCGATTGGGCGGCGTTCGAGGGCGCGGGGAGGGACTCGCGCGTCGCAGGTTTGCCCTTCTCAGGCAAAGCTCACCTCACGTCTCCCCTGCTCTTCTCTAGGAGAACGAACAACGACATGAACATAAAAGCTCGGAGGTCCGCGCGGATTTCTCGGATCGGCGCTGGGGCCCCCTGGCGGCGCCTCCGGCGCCGCCCCTGGCGCGCTCGGCGCGCCAGGGAGGGGGGTCCAGCGCGGATTCGAGAAATCTGCGCGGACCTCCGAGTTTTTATGTTTATGCCATTTTTCGTTCCCCTAGTCTCCCCTCCCGCCGCTTTCTTTTCTGACTCCTCCTCGTCTGCCTGATCCTCGCGCAGCGCGTACTGCTCTTCCGACTCCGTATCTATCTTGGGTGAAGCTTTGGCCCGAGCACTTCTCTGCCATCAGCCTGCAGCGCCCCTTGGACCAAGCAGCTCCGGAGGCCCCTGATGGCGGTCCTGTCGCGCGTGGTGCTGGCGGTTGCCCTGCTCGCCTCCCCGGCCGCCGCCTACGTTGCCCCGGTGCCCGGCGAGGCCGCCCTGCAGCGTTCCGTCGCCTCGGCGGTCCAGCAGCAGCCGACACTCCTCGTGGAGGAGCTCGTGGAGGAGCCCGCGGCGGACAGCAACGCCTCTGGGGCGATGCTCGGTGCGGCTGTGGCCAGCATCGCCGGAGCAGTGGTCGGCTGGCTGCGCTCCAACAAGCAGAGGGCCGCCAGCGCCGCTGCAGCGTCGGCGGTGGCGCTCGTGGCTTCGGCTTCACCAGCGCTGGCAGAGGTCGACTATATCAACATCGAGTACCTGGGCGGCAGCAACAAGGTGGACATCAACAACGCCAACATCATGGCCTACCGCCAGTTCCCTGGCATGTTCCCGACCGCCAGCGGCTGGATCGGCACGCACGGCCCGTGGGAGAAGGTGTCGGACATGTTGAATGACCCCGAGCTCCCCGACAACCTGAAGCAGATCATCCAGAAGTACGAGAAGAACTATGTTGCCTTCCCGGCCAACCCGGCCTACTTCATCGACCGCATCAACAACGCCATGTACCGTTGAGTTCACGCAGTCCTGCCTGCTCGTTCAAGAGGGTCTCGCTGGTGCAGAGGCCGAGGTGTGAGGATCCCATGCTCCCTCGGATCTCACTGCACCTGCACGCCTCTATGACGAAGGCTCAGGACACCCAAGCTAGGTGCCTGCAGCAGAATCCGCTGCACCATTTCTGACTTGGTAGGATGCTGACTGGAGTGCAGACTTTTTGAACCGGTGCGCCAGCTTCGATTTGTGGGAGCAACGGGACGTTCAAAATGATACTTTGAGGGAAACAGACCCTCTGCTACTCCTGCTGCTGCTCCTCCTGTTCGTCCTGCTCGTGCTCTTGCTCGCTCCTACTCCTGCTGCTGCTGCCCCTCTTCCTTTTTTGAGCCCAGTCCCGGAACCAGAAGGGATGGGTTCTGGTGGGTCATGGAGAAAAATGCTGATGCCTCCTTAGTGTTACCTCTCCAGCGAGTGGAGGGCCTGATCTGATAAGCGTTCTGACAAAGTCAAAGCCCCAAGCTTCCGAATAGTCGACCTCCCGCCGTGGTCAAATCATTGACGAGCCAGTGGACAACGCACCGGAGGGGCAGCAACACTTTACTTTTCCCCTGCTCTTCTCCCCTCCCGCCGATTTCTTTTCTGACTCCTCGTCGGCCTGATCCTCGCGCAGCGCGTGCTGCTCTTCCGACTCCGTATCTATCTTGGGTGAAGCTCTGGCACGAGCTTTTCTCTGCCACCAGCCTGCAGCGCCCCTTGGACCAAGCAGCTCCGGAGGCCCCTGATGGCGGTCTTGTCGCGCGTGGCGCTGGCGGTTGCCCTGCTCGCCTCCCCGGCCGCCGCCTACGTTGCCCCGGTGCCCGGCGAGGCCGCCCAGCAGCGTTCCGTCGCTTCGGCGGTCCAGCAGCAGCCGACACTCCTCGTGGAGGAGCTCGTGGAGGAGCCCGCGGCGGACAGCAACGCCTCTGGGGCGATGCTCGGTGCGGCTGTGGCCAGCATCGCCGGAGCAGTGGTCGGCTGGCTGCGCTCCAACAAGCAGAGGGCCGCCAGCGCCGCTGCAGCGTCGGCGGTGGCGCTCGTGGCTTCGGCTTCACCAGCGCTGGCAGAGGTCGACTATATCAACATCGAGTACCTGGGCGGCAGCAACAAGGTGGACATCAACAACGCCAACATCATGGCCTACCGCCAGTTCCCTGGCATGTTCCCGACCGCCAGCGGCTGGATCGGCACGCACGGCCCGTGGGAGAAGGTGTCGGACATGTTGAATGACCCCGAGCTCCCCGACAACCTGAAGCAGATCATCCAGAAGTACGAGAAGAACTATGTTGCCTTCCCGGCCAACCCGGCCTACTTCATCGACCGCATCAACAACGCCATGTACCGCTGAGCTCACGCAGTCCGGATCTCCCTGCGTCGCTTCACGCTTCTATGGCGAAGGTTTAGCCAAATCCAAGGTAGGTGCCTGATGCAGGAGACTTTTTGAATGGAGACGCCTGCTCCGATCGCCAGAGGAGGCTGGACGTTCTACGTTAAACCGATCCGCTGCCGCCGCTGCCCCTTGTCTTGCTGCCGCTGCTTCCCCTCGTCCCTTCTCAAGCCCGCCTCTGCTCCCGCCTGCGCCCTGCGTTCCTTGCTGTAGGCCTACCCGGGGCCTGCCCCGAGACCCTCCTCCGCCTCCTCCTCCTCCTCCTCCTCCTCCTCCACCTCCTCCTCCTCCTGCCTCCTCCTCCTCCCCTCCCCTCCTCCTCCTCCCCTCCTCCTCCTCCCTCCTCCTCCTCCTCCTCCTCCTCCTATCCTCCTCCTCCTCCTCCTCCTCCTCCTCCTCCTCCTCCTCCTCCCCCCCCCCCTCCTCCTCCTCCTCCCGTTGCCTACCCCTAGGCCATTCTCCCACGGGCCTACCCCTAGGCCACCCCCCTGGGCCCACACACCGGCCGGCCCCGAAGCCCACCTCTCGGCCCTGCCCCCAGGCCTTCCCCAGGCGTGCTCTTCGGCCCCGGCCCCGTCCGCCGTCGCCGTCGGGGAGCCACCGCTAGAAGGGGGGGGGGGTCGGCCGTTCTGCGGGGCGCAGCCGCCGGGAGGGGGGTGCAGCCGCGGGGGAGGGCGCAGTCGCCGGGGGGAGGGGGGGGAGGAGGAGGGGGGAGGGAGGAGGGGGAGGAGGAGAGGAGGAGGGGAGGAGAGAGGAGGGGAGGAGGAGGAGGAGGAGGAGGAGGAGGAGGAGGAGGAGAGGAGGAGGAGGAGGAGGATGAGGAGGAGGAGGAGGGGGAGGAGGAGGAGGAGGAGGGGGGCGGGCCGCCGCTGGGGCGGGGCAGCTGTTCGGGGGGGGGGGAGGCAGCCGCCGAGGACGGAAGCCCACACAGAGCGCCGTGGGTCGGGCGATCGCAGGCACGGATCAAAGGGGGCGTGGATCATCGGCGACGGGCCCCGCTTCCATGGGAGATGTTGTTCCTGTTCCGCCGCCGAGCGAGGCGGCACGGGCCGCACTTTGGGGAGCCGATCCGTGGATTTGGCGGCCGCGCTCCAAATCCATGGATCACTAATCCATGGCTGCGCGCCCCCGAATAAGGAAAACGACCCTCTCCCCACCGCCCTCCTGGCATGGGTGTGGCCCCAGCCGGAGAATCTGGAAGTGTCGGCACGTATGCTTGGTCTCTTGAGGGCCTCCTGAGGCCTCCAGGGGCACTCGAGGAAGTCGTCCCCGTCCTCGTCGTCTCCCTCGCCACCACCCCTCTCACGCAGCCTCAGGACACGAATTACTCGACGCGAAGATCCCCATATGTGCGTCTCATTCCGTGTCACGTCCCGCTGTGAGTGTCTGGCCGTGAGCGCCTGGATGTGGGAGCGAGACCGAGTGGGCGACGAGTACGACGAAGACGACGACGAAGACGACGACGACGACGACGACGACGACGACGACGACGACGACGACGGCGGCGTCTTCGATGAGGGACAGAGGCGACGACAATTCACAGACAGACAGGCAGTGAGCAGGCCCCTCCCCTCCCCTTCCTCCTGCTGCTCGTCGTGCCCCCTCGCTCCTCTTCCTCCCGCCTCCCTTTTCTCTCTCTCTCTCTCTCTCTCTCTCTTTTCCCGCGTCCTCCTCCTCCTCCTCCTCCTCCTCCTCCTCCTCCTCCTCCTCCTCCTCCTCCTCCTCCTCCTCCTCCTCCTCCTCCTCCTCCTCCTCCTCCTCCTCCGTCCTCCTCCGTCCTCCCTCCTCCTCCCTGGCTGCCGCCCTTCTCCCGGCATCGAGAAGACCATGGGGCTCTGAATGGAAGCGCTTTTGGGGCCCCCGCTTGCTGGGGCCCTGAGGGTGCCGGCCCGACTCACTTAGGGTCCGCCCGCGCGGCCCGACCCGCCCAGAATTTTGGGCCAACGCTTCGCCCGGAGCTAGCCCCCTCTGTTCCATTGTGCAGAACACCTTACAGTCAAAAGCCCGAATGAGGACGCGCGACTTTGCCCCCAGGGTGCCCCTGCGCCCTTGCTCTCCCTTGCCCTTGCGTCCTCGAGGTTTTCGTCGCCCGCCGCCCCCAAAAATCCCAACTTCGGCTTCCGAGGGTCTTTTTGGAGTCCCGAAACGGTGCGGTGACAGACCGTGCGGTGACCTCGAAATCCCCCAAGACCTCACCGCACGGTCCGTCAACGCACGGTTTTGGGACCTCAGATGCCCCTATCGCCCGAGACGTCCTCGGAGAACGACCCGAGTCCCAAAACCGTGCGGTGACCCCGAATCCCCACAGACTCACCGCACGGTGTGGTCACCACACCGTTTTGGGGCCCCCGGGTCTTGCGTCCTTGCCGCGCGTCCTTCTTGGGGTTGTTGACCGTACTTCCATCCGGGTCTCCACCGGCGGAGGCCCAGAAGAGTGATAGGCTGACCTTGCACAGAGAGCCCCTCCCCCCTCCCCCTCCTACAGTGTGATGGGATCCCTGGGACTCCTCCTCCTCCTCCTCCTCCTCCTCCTCTCCTCCTCCTCCTCCTCCTCCTCCTCCTCCCTCCTCCTCCTCCCTCTCCCTCCTCCTCCTCCTCCTCCCTCCTCCTCCTCCTCCTCCTCCGCCTCCTCCTCCTCCTCCTCCTCCTCCTCCTCCTCCTCCTCCTCCTCCTCCTCCTCCTCCTCCTCCTCCTCCTCCTCCTCCTCCTCCTCCTCCTCCTCCTCCCACTCCTCCCCCCCCAACACCAAGCCCACAGTCCCCCCCTCGGGAGCCCTGCGGCCACTTCGGTGAGCGAGGGCCACCTCGGCGAGACTGGGGGTCGGACCTGCGGGGGGCCCCTGGAGGCTGGGGAGGGGTCCCTCGGGCCACCCCTTCGGGCGGGCGCGGCCTTCCCTACCGCCGCAACGCCGCTGCCGCAGCCACCGCTGTCGTCCCCTCCTCACCTCGCCCCCTGTGGGGTTATCAGGTGGCCTTCCTCTCTTCTTCTGCTCTCACTTGGCCGTCTTCAGGAGGGAAAGCAGCACACGGACACAATGAATCGTCGACCCCCAGGAAATGATAGGAAAATGTCGGAAGTGGGGGGGAAGACACAAGCCCAGAAAACATTGGGAAATATGGGGAATATTGGTATTGCGAAGGCCTTACGGCCGGTGCCGCCGACCCTGGAGGGCGACCCATGCGTTCTCTAATGTGGCGGGGGGGGCCTCTTGGGGCTTCCTGGGGGCCTCTTGGGGGTCTCGTGGTGGCTTCTTGGGGGCATCTTGGGGCTTCCTGGAAGCCTCTGTCGCCGAGGGCTCGTCGGGCCCCCCGTCTGGGCACCCTGTTGGAGCCGTTTGGGGAGCCTCTGGGGCCATCTTGGAGGCATCTTGGGCGGTCTTGAGGCTCTCTTGGGTGATTTTGGGGCTCTCTTGAGGCCTCTTGGACTATCTTGGGGCAATCTTGGGGGCATCTGGGGCCGTCTTGGAGCGTCGGCAAGTTCAAACGGCGAGAACGCCAAAATCTGTCAAAAACTTCAAGGAAATCATTGATTTTTCCTCTTCGTGCCCTCTTGGGAGTGCTCTTGGAGACTTCTTGGAGCGTCTTGGCAATCTCTTGGGCCGTCTGGAGGCTAATTTGGCGTCTTCGACCGATGGTTCGGCGATTCGGGGCCCTCTGGAGCCGTCTTGGAAGCCTCTTGGGGCACTCTTGGCCAGTCTGGGGGCTTTTTCTAGGTCCCGGGACATCCCGGGGGGGATGCGTATCTGCCCCCCCCCTTCCCCTCCCCGGGACCCCCCCCGGGACCCCCCCCCCCCCCGGCGGGGAAGGGATCAAAGGGAAGGGGCTTCCCTTCGACTCAGCTACGACGTTGCTCAATTTCGCTTTGCCTTCGACTCAGCTACGACGTTGCTCGATTTCGCTTTGGTTTCGCTTTGGCTGGCGCGCCTGAGAGGAGGGCGACCACGACGACGGCCTTCCTCTCTTTTTCTGCTCTCATATGCCGTCTTCAGGAGGGAAAGAAGCACACGGACACAATGAATCGTCGACTCCCAGGAAATGATAGGAAAATGTCAGAAGTGGGGGGGAAGACACAAGCCCAGAAAACATTAGGAGATATGGGGAATCTTGGTATTTGTGTGTGTATTTGTTTGTGTGTCCTGGGGCCCCCTTCACGCCTGTCCGCTTCCCTCTTCTGGCCTGGACGCCCCGGCCTCTGGTCGCGAGGCAACCTGGTTTGATCCACCCACCCCAGGGCCGACTGGCCCTGGGGGGGATGTCTGCGGTGGCACGACACCAGGACCGAGAGAGAGAGAGAGAGAAGAAGAGGAGGAGGAAGCAGGAGGAGGAGGAGAAAGGAAAGAGGAGGAGGAGGAGGAGGAGGAGAAAGGAGGAAGGAGGAAGAAGGAGGAGGAGGAGGAGGAGGAAGAGGAGGAGGAGGAGGGGGAGAAGGAGGGGGAGGAGGAGGAGGAGCAGGAGGGAGCCGGGCAGATGGGGAGGCGGAGGCTGGCTGGGAGCGCGGAGGAGGCCGAGGAGGACCCCCTCAGAAGACCGAGCGCCGGCCCGCCGCAGCGGCCGCCGCCATGGACGCGGCCGCGGCCGCGGCGGCCGCCCACGGCGGCGCTCCCGACCGCCGCGGGGCCGGCGGGCCGCTGGAGCCGCGCGCCGCGGCGGAGGGCGATCGGGCGCTCGCGGCCGTGGGCGACCACCTCGGGCGCGTGGCGCAGCTGCTGCTGGGCCAGGCCGCCCGCCAGGGGCGCTCGGCGAAGGAGAACAAAACGGCGTAAACTTACACGGGCGGTGAATCCCCTCGGCGAGGCCTCCGTCACCGCCACTGGGCACGCTCCGCATGCCAGGGAGCGGGGGTCCAGCGCCGGTCCACGAAAACCACGCGGACGTCTCAAAAAGGTTATGTTTGTGCAGTTTGGGGGGGAGCCGGGGCGTGCGGAGGAGGGCTGCAGAGGGGAAGTCTGCTGGCACCCAGCT